CACCTACTACAAGGTCTCTATTTATTTATTTGTATAGCATTATCTTACCTACTACAAGGTCTCTATTTATTTATTTGTTTAGCATTATCTTACCTACTACAAGGTCTCTATTTATTTATTTGTATAGCATTATCTTACCTACTACAAGGTCTCTATTTATTTATTTGTATAGCATTATCTCAGCTACTACAAGGTCTCTATTTATTTATTTATATAGCATTATCTCACCTACTACAAGGTCTCTATTTATTTATTTATTTATTTGTATAGCATTATCTTACCTACTACAAGGTCTCTATTTATTTATTTGTATAGCATTATCTCACCTACTACAAGGTCTCTATTTATTTATTTGTATAGCATTATCTCACTGAGGTGCGCCGGAAGCAGCTAGGGCATGAGTTCCAAAAAAGGGCTTTAAAATATCATCAATTAGTAGAGCATGTGAGGGCAAGTTACTCAATTGCATCACCTGGGTTCATCCCCTGCAAACACGGGATATCGTGAAAGGTCAGAGCAGCGTATTATAGGCAGACATGGAGCGACTTTCATTGCCTGCTTTTAATGAGAACAAAGTACGGGCACGGAAGTGTTTGCAACTCATGGCTGTCGTTAGGTAATGGAGTTTTAGATTAGAGTTCTCACTCATCCTTGTCAAGAGCATTCCGTCCATCTTCTTGATTAGATCTATATCAGGCTTGATTTTTTCCTCGCGATCTATTTCCTCGCTTAAAAAATAATCAGATGGAATCTCAGGTCACTAGGCATGAACGGTCATTGCTCGAGCTTTGAGTTTGTAATGACCGTGATTTTCTTCCGCATAATTTCAAATAAAGATGTCCAGTCCGTCCTCTTAAATCGTGTAGTTTATTAGAGAACACGAATCTTCCTTGGTGAAGCAATAGGCTTGGATTATTTTGTTTTGTTTCTGCACTTGTCCACTTTAACTGACATATGGGTGAAAATAAATGCAATTTTATTCGAGATCAAATATATTCAAAAAATTTTTTGGAACTCAACATGAATGCATAATCAGAAAGTTATCCAACACGGCACTATCCCTTCAGAAGTAAAGCACTATCCCTTCTGCATGAGTCTGTTTGCGGCTCAGACTCAATTAATTATAACGTAACCGGGGCATTTCTAATAAATATTTATGAACTAACTGGTATGCAATATCGTTGAATTACATATGTAATCTCCACTTATATGCTGAACGTCTGATTGTATTTATGCCTGCTTTTACACACCTTATCGATTTTTTTACTATCAGTTGACAGCCTCTGGACGGGTGCAAAAGCGCCCTTTTCCTAATATTAAACTGACAAACAAAAAATTTAAATTTAAACACGAGAATTATGATTAATTTCCCCTGCAAAACAGCTCGATGTAAATGTAGTCGTTTCTTCAGTCCCAAGTGCTTCCCAGGCATTAAACTTCACGCAGGAATTAAACTTATTTCGTAAACTCTAACATGGAGTTTTTCTGCTAAAATTTTATTAGATATTAGCATGGTCAAATTAGTTTTATCTCAGCTATTTGTGTTCCTGTGCGATTCCGTGAACCTGGTGCGGTGACCCCATATGTGAAAATTAAGATCTGCAACCTCAAAAGCGATCTTTTTCATTCTACTGAAATCATTCTGTATTGCAGCGGAATCCAAGAGCTGTGGTTCAAAATTTCCCTCCGACAATATTTCAGAAGAATAGATTTGCATAGACAGCATAATTTTAACTAGATCGGCTTTATTACTAAAAAATATAAAGATATTTTTGCGCATAACATCTTTTACACAGATATAACCGTTGTAATCTGTATTGAATATTTCTCATATTCTACGACGCTACAATCAGGCTGAAGAATTGGAATCATTCTTGAAGGTATCGCACTATTCAAGCAAGCTTGGATTCTGGTAAGTTCTCGATATCTTGATGAAAATGTAGCCAATGATATTGATAAGCCAGGCCACGTATATCAAGAGAAAAATGCATGTGACGCGAAACCTGCAAGGGTGCATGCCACTACACCATGAGAGGAACAATAATGCCTGGAAAACACATCGTTAGAAACTAGATCAAGTTTTAAAATGTCATAGGTGACCCGTTCTTCTATCATTGAAGTAACCCAGCCAAGTAACACGTCCACTCTTGCTGATGTAAACACACTCTGATGCAACCGTGTGTGCCACACCATATGCACTAGATCGCTTCACTGATTACTCGATACACACGAGAAAAAATAACGACTTTGTGTAAGAAGATTTAAAAACCAGAACGGGAGCAATTTTGAGGTCAAAGCTGACCAGCCCAAGAGTTCGATCGGACCACTTGTAAAACGGCTAGCATAGGTCACAGTTTCTGTTAGGTTCATCAGTTATACCAAGATTGCCGCTGCTCTCATTTACAATGCTCATTTTAGTGGGCCGTACCTAGCGCTCGGTTTCATTGTCAAGATATTCTCTGCTCTAGACCTTCACTGCAATAATTAGTAACATTTCTCGATGAGGTCAACATTTATGTGCTAATATATGGGATTTTTTAACTCTTAACTAATCCCATCGCAGACAAAAAGTGTGCTGTGGTTCATTTTAAATGTCAAGCAAGGCTTTGCTTCCAATAGCCTGGTTCATAATCGACCTTCGGAGTCGTAGAACTTTATAGAAAGCAGCATTTGTCCCTGCATTCGAGTTTATTCATTGCCTTGTAAAAATGTGGTGCTGTACTAATTCATTAGCCACATATTGTGTTACAATTTTACAGAAGGCAATAAATCTAAATATAATAAATAATAATAATAATAATAATAATAATAATAATAATAATAATAATGATAATAATAATAATTATAATAGGAGTTTCCGTGTTGATTGGGCGTAAGACCTGTCGCCGATTCTGGTCAACGCAGCATTTTCACAGCTTGTTGTGGGTCTCGAACCCGAAACTCACTGCACCAATTTTGTTGCGCTAAGCCGCCCTGCCACCCCGCAGATTTTGACCAGAACTGTCGCAGGTAGCTGGTATGGAACCCACGACTCACTGCTCCAATGTTGATATTCTGAAAAGTTAATCTTTTTCCCCCTTTTACTGTCTCTGTAATACCTCTATCGCTCAAAGGTATTACAGAGATGAAGAAGCAACAACTATATAAACGAAGTTTAGCGTTCTTGAAATGTCAAGATTATGAAGATTATTCAGCGACTTACGCTTACAATAATATAGTGGTAGAAACAAAGCAAATAGTCTATGGGAGACAATTTTCCTTCAAATATCAGATTAGGAAAATGCGACCTCTATTTGTAAACTGACGTTTCTTTGATCAGAAATGCGCCCGCGAGAGATAACTAAAAATGCCCGTGACATTTTCGCAGGACCTCTCACGCCCTCGCAAGTTCTACATTAGAGGCTTTTCATTACATTTACGAAGAAATAGTGCATATTTGTGCGGTCATTTTTATACTTACGAGAGACCTACGCCATTTCACTGAGTCCCTTCAAAAAAATTTTGAATTAAAAATAAATTTTGAAGTAAAAATAAATTTTCAATATAAACAATTCGAGTTAAAAAACTTGCCCCGAAAGATGAATAGAACATTTTCATTGTGTTAACGTGTGCGTCACTTTTTTCAATTTCGCAGTTAAATTCATAAATGAAAAAATTCCCACTAAATCTACTGTTGGAAGGTTTTTCAGGGCTAGAATATTTTTCCTTAACTTAGAAGTCCTAGAATTCAAATATTGCCCATTATATAACCCCTGTAGACTGGGCCACTGTTGCTATAAATGGCTGTTCGTCGCCACCCGAAAAACATGCAGTAAGGCCAGCGGGTCATAATACATAACTCTTATCTCAATGATGTTCTCCATATATGGATATAACCATACAGGGTGGTTCATTAGCATCGTTTCGCTAATTAGCACTTGTGTTATAAAGTTCCTATGATATAAGCGCGCTCTAACCTAAGTCTCGTGCTGCTGTCATGAAGCGGCAGAAGGGAAAAGGCCCAATTAAAAATTTAACAATTGAGTTTCGGTATTTTCCTGATCAAAGGTTTTTCACGATTACACCTCAAGTTTCTTTTACATATATGTGGTGAACCTATAAATTCGTATGGTAAACCTATACATATATACATTGAAAGATGTATTTTTAAATTATTAAAATATTTTGAAACTATCATTGTTTTATTAAAATATATATATTTTTTATTAAAATATTTTGAAACTATCATTGAGTAATTTATTATAAAAGAAACAAAATAAATATTTGCATGTGAAATGATGAACATAAAGGTTTGAAATAAATGGATTTGAAATAAGCGCAGTGTGATATAAAGACTTCATTCTATTTTCTTCGATTTGAAATTAGTTAATAACATCCAACGTACACTTCATCAAAGATAGCAATTTTATCCTATCTTTATGGTTTCCTTCTCAACACAAATCTTATATTTATAGCTAATTATATTTTAGTAGTTTTTGTTTAGGAAAAATAACCTTAAATCACCTTTAGAGCTCCCGACCTTAGGCCTATCAAATGAGGAAACCTGGAGCCCGTGAGGCGCACGTTGCGGGACTACGCGTTCCAGCAGCAACTGGATAACTAAATTATATGGTTCTTTAATTATTAATTAATGTTAAATTCCCGCCAAGAAAACCTTAGTGCTGGGACAAAAGAGACAATATTAAACCGGGGTTTAAATTAATAATGATAGTAATCCCAATAACGGATTTAATTATACTTCGAATTCAATACTAAGTTATATGTTTCTTTAATTATTAATTAATGTTAAATTCCAGCCAAGAAAACATTAGTGCTGGGACAAAATTAAACCGGGGTTTAAACTAAACTAATAATGATACCAATCCCAATAACGGATTTAATTATATTTCAAATTCAAATAAACTAGCGCGCCAAGTTCAGTGCCAGTGCCCAAGGGAGGGCGTGGCCTGGGTGCGCCCTATATAAGAGGCACAAGTGCCCTCAGCGGTCAGTCGCTTACCTACCCTTCTCTCTTTCGGGAGTCCTAGACAACCATAGCTACAAAATTTTCAGTCATGAAGGTAATTCACGAATTACAATTGTTATATATTTGTTCGTGCAAGAGTTTGGGCTAACAGATTTTTTTTTAACGGGCGAGCTAAGGAAATTTTCGCTGTTAATTTTGCAGTGCCGCTTGTCGAGTGCTGTCGTGCTGAATAAAATGATTGTTTAGAATGAGAGTGAGTTGCCAAATTTGTGATGAATGCTGCGATCAGTGAATTATCTTCTTAGTGATTATATAAACAATTTTTTTAAGCTGGATAAATTCTTGTACTATGTAAACTACTTTAAAATTATTGTACTATGAATTCTACTCTTTCTTGTACCATGATAAATTCTTGTACTATGTTAACTTTCAACAATTTGAACTTACGGCCATAACACGGCTAATTGACGAGAACATAACTCAAGTCTTTATAGCGAGTGATCGAGAAGAGACCTGCTACTTTTTGCATTAAAAAGATTGAATTATTTGCTGGTAATTGCAAATTTGTAATAAAGAAACATATTTTGATTATCTTTCACAATATTTTAAAAGACATTTATCGTGTTTAAGAAATTCGAAATTTAATTTTATTTTTTATTTGAATTTAGCCTGCTGTACAAATTTAACACGAAATTAAATTTAAACTGAAATTCGATTAAAATTCTATGAATCTGCACGCACAGGTATTCGTCAAGCTCTATTTCTACATTATTACATAATTTAAGATAATTTTCATTTGATACACAAATTATCTGTCAATTAGCTTTTCAACATTCATGGAAAACTCAAAGGATTATCGCTTCGTGAAACTGCCAGCAGGACTAAATTCCTGAGGGCAAGTGGGGTCAGTGGAAAAATTTCCTTCAACGATCCTTGCTGTGCCATAGCGAGCATTACAGCAGTCAACCCTCAGATCCATATAACAATCTGCAAAGCGTTGCAACCCACTACTAATGCCATTATGAGCCGAAACTTTCATCGGATTGGCCAAGCAATTAATTTAATTGGAGAGATCGGGCACGTTGGGGCCCCTGCAGACATACATAGCGATGTATATGTATATATTGAATGGACCTCTTCTGAAAAGACTCACGCTAAATGTCAAGGAAAAGAATCAGAACAAAAACGAAATGGGTCTCCCGTCGCGTCGTGAGCAAGGCGTGGTGGCCATACTATTTATATTTATTGTTATGGCGTGCGCTCGAGCCACTACCACTAAATTGCATGGTTATAAAACGGGAGCCGGTATACAAATTATAACAGTGTTACAAATTGTAATTCTTTCACTGAAAGCTTATTTGAAAGCCTGACCGTGCGTTTATGTCTAATACTCGGGTATTACAGAAGCAAGTACGTAAAACAAAATTGGAGCTGGCATCTCTAAGCATTTGCTCAACCTTAGGATGACTTCAATAACTCTCAAATCCCTTCTCGAAATAATTTCTAAACTTTTAGCCGTGAAACATAAATTAGTGATCCTCTCAAGTATAAATTTCATGAATGAGGCTCTAGCAATTAACATGACCTATATAATACTATTCTCTTGTCACGTATGCTGTTACCGACGTATCGATGTAGCAGTCAAGCAACTTTTCGCTCCGCTCTGTTTAACTCGTAGTCTAAGTTAACCCAAGATCGCAAAGAACGCAACAATGTGATGCTTGCAATAGAGGCCTTATGTAATGATGTGTCTCAATGCTATGGCTAAGTTACGAGCAGATCTGGTCGATATTCACGTCGAAGGCGGTCTGTTTATCTTCGCGATCAATTCAAGCTAGGAACTTGCAAACTTTTTTACCGAATGATCATTAGTTGCGATGAAAAATTCCACGTAACCGTGGCATGAAATTTTGAAATTTCATGCTCTATATTAGAGGCCCAAACGCGTTCTATTTCATAGGCCAGTGAAACAAAGGAAATCAACACTGAATATTAACTACAATTTTCAGGGCAAAATAGTAAGCTTCGACCTTGACTCAATCTAAAAAATCTGATCTTGAATTTACAGGTCAAGTGGGAAAAAAAAGCCGACTAACACTGTTTCAACTATGATGTGATGATACAGATAACGTAAGAACTGATGCCCGCACGCATGGCTGTTATCTGGCCTGAGTTTCAGTGCAAGTCGTTTATTTTTCAGAAGCGAAATGAAAATTGAGGAGTGCACGCATCTGATATTCTTAGACGTGATGTAGTTCAGTTCATCTCTGAAGCTACAAAGAACTCTGATTCCTTGGTAGCCTATAATTAGTTATTATATATGAGGCAATTCAAAAACATTTTTACTGTTTCAGCGTTTAAAACTTATTTTTTTAGTATCAATATGAAGAATCAAGGATCATTTATCTCATTTTAATTCGCTGTTAATTTCTTAACACTGCCGAAAAATATAATATCCATTATTTTTCTCAGCGAAAAATTACGATTTCTTTACTTAGTAATTAATTTGATCTCACGTTATTAACGATTGGTTAATAACAAAAGCCTTAGAATTGTTTAAAATATTTTTCATTCCAAAGTTAAAAAGAACAGAATTCACATTCTGTCGAGAAAATAATGAGAAATGCGTAACCCATCAAAATTTTGTATGCATCTGCAACCTGCATACTGAATTTTTCTGTTGATAGGTTGAATAGCATTTTTTGATATCTTGAATGCATCGAACGCACCCTAAACCTAAAAATCGTCTCGAAAATACTTAAAAAATATACTCGAATTTGCTGTGTTTTCGCTTAACATAGTGCAACGCTAATACATTACTCGTTTCGTTTCACAACTATCAAAGCTGTTAATCAGTAACAGTGAGATGACAAATCATTAATTCAAAATGGAAAGTAGTCTCAACGTTTAATATAACTTAATCGAGACAAACCATACTCAAAGCTAACGCAGAGGTTGTCCTTGACACTGAATTGCTTTTGTATCTAAGACGAGGTCACGTAGGGTAGGATCAGGGAGCCACTAACCTGACTCTGTTTTTACGGGTCAAACCTCGTAAGTTTGTGCCACAACAGGGGCCATACTTTCAAAATTCGCTAAGTGAACGTAAGTACTTACGCTCTATTTTCTTGTCTATGATTGGTGGATTTTGCTAGAAAGGCCGTCAATGATTGGCCGATGAACTTACGATCTCTTAATTTTTTTGAAAGTATAGGCCCTGCTCAGCAGGAGTTGTGACTGCACTTGAGTCCTATGACCTATTCCTCACATCCATGGGTCAGGCTACAGGCATGGCGGTATTTTAATCGAGAGCACTTCTGAAAAGTGAGGGCGGTATTTTAATCGAGAGCACTTCTAAATAGTGAGGGCGGTATTTTAATCGAGAGCACTTCTGAAAAGTGAGCGCGGTATTTTAATCGAGAGCACTTCTGAATAGTGAGCGCGGTATTTTAATCGAGAGCACTTCTGAATAGGGAGGGCGGTATTTTAATCGTGAGCACTTCTGAAAAGTGAGGGCGGTATTTTAATCGAGAGCACTTCTGAATAGTGAGGCCGAGCAGCTCATATCATGGCTATCATGCGTACCTGACACTCTCTTGGATATTTGGTAGGGTTTCAATTTTAATTATACTCATTGTATTGAAATGTACCTTCTGAATTTTCTATAGAATGTTGGTCTCTGGGTATTGTAATGAAAATACTACTTTGTTTAACCATACTGCACTAAACTGTTTCTTATCATTTTCCCAGGCCTATATGTTTCCTCCTGAACCTTCACTTCGAGTTTTTTTTTTACTACTTCCGAGCAAGCTTTTTGAATATTTGTAACTATATAATCAGCTGCGATCGATGCAAGAACTTTGCAGTGTTTGCGGCAGTAATGCTTAGCGAGGTTGCGGGTCGCTCAACCTCTTGACGACAGACCTGCGCTCGCTTTCAAGCACAGCTCTTGCGTAGCAAGTGTTGCTATTTTCGGGCGTTGATATGCACACTCGACCATAAGGCAACAAAAAATCTTCTTTTATTTTTTAATAAGCCATGGCTTAGTTTAATCCTGGCTTATTTCTGTTTACTCCTGGACTGAAGGTGTTTTAATTATAGTCTTGTGATTCAATCTATTTTTTGGAATCCAATTTTATTACTCATTCACTCTGTAACGGGCTCAATAGTGACTTTTGAATATAATGACTCATTTCAGCTTAGCCTACGCTCTTCGTTTATCATTCAAACACAAAAGAATTTGTATGTGCAATTAAAAAAATCTAGTGCGGAAATTTTTTGTGCCTGGGCCCAACCCTGCAATGAAAGTTAACCTTGCTGGGAGGCAGGCAGCACGCGCGTCTCGGTCAACTTCCTTCAATAATATTCTTGCCTGACCGACCGACACCTCAATGGCTCCTGATATTGAGGCTCGATCACATAAAAATTACGTAAAATATCGTAAGCTTGTTGTAACACCGCTGGAGGGTCTTGTCATTCGAGCAAACAAATGATGAAGCTCATAAATTAGTCTCCAATTTCTTCAATAAACGTTGAAGATAACAACTTCACATCGTAATCCCAATTATTACTGTGATCACATTTTTTTCAAATAATTTCCTACTTAATAGAGTCCTAAAAAATAGAGAGTCGTCCTACTATTAGAGTTCAATAAAGTTTACTCCACGTAGAACTGAAACCGTTTTTCTATGACTCGCAACTCATGAATATAAGTTAGAATCTTGCATTATTGCCACTTATTAATACTTAATGTACTCAAATCATGTCGCGTCGAAAAATTATTAATGTTGTGTCGGACTGAAATTGTGTACTGCATATTCATATGTAATCTTTTATTTACTGAAATTAAAAACTTGAAATCTCGTAACTAACAGTTGTGGAAATTCAACTGCTCGTGCATTAATACCTCAACATCTTAAAGTCGCACCACGATAACGAAATGAATGCTGCTCATTCTTACTTAACGCCTGGGTATCAATGGTATCAGTAATTCAAGGTAACAGCTGGTATCCGCAGCTGCTTCTCACAAACAAAATCAACCAAAACCGGAGGGCAAATTTGTTGCAGTCAACGAAATTTCACTCGGTCAAAACTTTGCATAACAATGATTAAGCTGTCAAATATGTCACTAAAAATACTTTGGTGGAGATTTAGCAACGAGTCTAAGTAAAAGTTTTCATAGTTCATGCCAATATGTACTTGTGCTACCACTCACACTAGCTTTATTACATACAATTTGAGCATTACAATATTAGTGAGCACGGTTATAAGTAAAAATTATTCGGGAGGCCTGTCATGTTTTAAAGCAGATGAAAACAATTGAATTATGAAGACAATCCAGAGTTGAAGAGGCCCTTATAAAAACTAATATTCTTGAGTACATGATACAATAATAATTTGACATAATTCAACAACTAATCAGTTCCATGAGCTAAAGAATGAAATAATATCCCCTGCATCACGAGTGAACACAGCTCCACTCTATGCAGTCTTGACCCAGGGCGATTGCTATTGTGCTGTAGAACAGACCGCCCTGCTTCCTTACACGGGTCCGACATTCATCATAATGGGCTGACAACAGCCATGCCCAAATTACTGAGATAATAATCTAGATACTATTTTTGTATCGCCATCGACACGACCAATTGAAGCGCGTGCTCAAGACGAAATCCAACTTGGACATCGTGAACGCCAAGAATTTCATGAACGGCATCAACAATAAAAGTTATAAATAAAAAGAAAATTATATCAATAATGTAGATTGTCACGGCAAGGGAATAAGTCAAATTAGACGTTGAATCTTCCTGAGTTCTCGGAATCTCACAAAGACATTACTAGCGAATTTCCCATCTCGCCTAAAAGCAATAAATGTAGAAACATTTCCTCTCCATACAAATACTTATCCTGGTGGGTTGTCATTGCGCTGAAAACAACTACCCCGCCCTAAGGGTACGCACACAGTGAAAGCAGGTTGCCAGCGTGCTGGTTACCTGCTCAGGCTGGCGCCTGAAACCATAGAATACAGAAGCCTATTCGTACAGGTTTTCACTGTGAACACTTACATTATTAACCTATGTTCATTCTTGTGGCAGTTGGAGCAGGTTGCCCGCGCCGGCAAATCTGCTTTCACTGTGTGCGTACCCTAAAAGAGCTGTTTCTTTCTCTGCTGTGCAGTTCGTGAGAGCGTCGACGCTGGTGTGTTTGGTGGCAGCTTGCTTTGCCGTGCCTGCTGACTTCGGCGCGCGGGAGGGCAAACTCAAGCCAACGCAGCTGCTCAGGAGCTACAAGGGATTCGTCAACGACTTCTACAGGAAGAACGACGCCTATAGGTCAATATGAATGTTTATATTTCGTGCTATGTTCTATTAATTTGTGATAACGATTTCTATATTGAAAATTAATAATCCAATACAAATCCATGTTTAAACCAGAAATTTATTGTTGATTCAAATATTGGGACCGTTTTGAGCAATCAACGCAGCATTTGGTATCAATAGATGACTTTGCCTAGTTTTAAATGGTCACCATCAATTAAATTAAAACGATATAAGAATATTCATGAACTTCGTTTAGCTGTTATTATTACTATATGTAAAATTTCAAATTCCCTGCAGACTGGAGTACAACGTGGGTGACAGCGCCCGCTTCGAAGAGCGCACAGACTCAGGCGAGGTGTCAGGCACCTACGCATTCGTAGCTCCCGAAGGCGATGAATACGAATTTAAATATCAAGCAAACGACGAAGGCTTCAAGGTGGAGGGCGACGCTCTGCCCGAGGCTCCCGAGGAAACCGACGACGTGAAGGCAGCTCGGGCGGCTTTCTTCGATGCTTACGAAAAACAATTGGAATTAGCAGGTTCAGGTGAAGACTCAGAAGAAGATGACGACGAAGAATCATCAGAGGAATCAGACGAAAATGATGACGACAATGAGGAATCTTCAGAAGAAGATGATGACGATGATGATGAAGAGGAAGAAGTGAAACAAGTTCCAGAAGTGAACGTCCGAGGTGGAAGTCGAGGATTCGGAAGGCGTCGTGTTGAAAGTCCAGTTTCTCGACCAGTTGTTCGAACTGTACCTTCATTCTTCAGAGCTCCTAGCCAGTACAGAAGGCAGTCATAAATTGCGATCAAACTTAACAATCTCACCTATGAGACTCTAGATTAAAATAATACATCAATTTTTCATCAATATTGGAAAATATCAGAATAATCAAAACCACTGACTTCAGAGTTAGTCTTAGATAGAAAGTAACTCTTCAACCAACGCATACCATTTATTTAGTTTTTATTTTAATTGGCATTTTTTTAATGTGAGTTCTGAAAGCCATAACAAAAGTCGTTATGTAGCAACGAATGGCTCCATGAAGTTACCAGCGATACAAAAAATAAAAAGATTCACAAGCACAAGACGCTGCCGCCTTGTGCAACAAAGTCATAAGCGCCGCAGAATCTAAGTAGGCAAGGATTATTGCGTTTTAATTTTAAAAGTTTAGATTTCGAAACCACTCGTAGCGCCTTCATTCATCGTCATGGTTCTTTTCTCGAGCGAACGAATAGCAGTAGAACGAACGAAAAATTGAATGAGAATATCGATCGATTTGTGTTCGAAAACGATTAATTTTAAGGAGGCTTATTTTTCTGTCTGAATGATCATGCCTTGGATATGACTGTTTCTGACATCTCTTCTATTATTTATTTCGCATATATGTTTGATTCAACCATTATTCATATGCAAGAAAAATTATCTTATGATCTAATATTTCGCAGTATTATCTTCATCATCGGATGACCTACCAGAATTGTTGTTGGGAAGATTTTGGCATAATGCGAATATCTCCGGTAAACAATTAAAAATATGCTTATCAACCAAATAATTGTTTTATGAACTAAATGTAATCAGGCTAATAATGAGCAATCCTGATTTTTCCCAAAAATTTCAGATACTTCTTATTTTCATTCATTCTATTTTTTCTCTTTTATCTTTTCAATTCTCTTCCTCGATTTATTTAATTACTGTGCCAGCAATTTATTCGCTTAAGTATCACTTATTTCCAGTGAACGATCGGTAAGGGAAGTCGATTTGTTGCTATAACTTGTGAGTTAGAGGCTATCGAATTTCCCTGCTCATGAGGGGATTTTCTTCAGTTTCGTGTATATATATAATCTTAAGATAAATAACTCGTTGTTGTTACAGCAATCAAGTCCTCATGCTCTTGCTGACCAACTGGAAATATGTGTGTGTGTGTTCGTGTAGATATCGTAGATTGTGTTCTATGTGTTTTGAATGAAAATAAATTATTTATTTCAAAGTTAACATCGTTTCAGTGCCCGCCTCACTACATACGAGTATGTGTTTTAAAATAGAAATTTTCTATTAATAACATCACCGCATCCCACTCCGCCCACAAAAAATTAAAAGGATGAAAACGCTGTGCATCACAATTTGAAAACCGTTACATAGTTCTGTTATAAATGGTATTGTAGAAGTTCCGGAGGTAGAAAGTCGGAACTTCCAAGATTAAAATTAATTAAGTACACGTACACCAAGGTTAAGGAAAGGCTAAGATACGACTGAAGGTGTAGGAGAAGTTTATTGGATGACTACAAGGTACAAAACAGCTATGACAAATTTAACACCAGAATGAACTGTTTCTTAGGTGGTTTGATTCAAGAAGTCAGGCGGGATGTTGCTACAATATCATATCATAGTTCTGATTTGATACCATTTATTTCCCATTGAATTCAAGTGATAAGTTAATTTTTCTTTTGAAAGTGCTAATATCATCTGGTTGGTTAAATAGCAAGGTAACCAAGTATAATAATTTTAAAAGCAACAGAAAACACTGAACAATGAAAATAAAGTGATTATTTTAAATTGGCTCTTCTTTGCCTCTAAATTCCTAATCCATTTGCTTGCGCATCTGTGACATTCACTCCAATCATACTGCACCACTTTTTTTCCCTCTAGGGTCATTTAGTTTTTGTTGAGTGAAGTTTCCTGATTCCATCAAGCACAGTATTGGCATCGAGACCCGTCAATTATCATCTTCTTATAGGGGATGATGAGATATGTTTGAGAATTTACGCAGTTTGAGTTGCTTGGAGACTTCTGTTTAATTGACCAGTGTGCAATTTAACATGCAACAGCCCTGTTTGAGTAACGTACTATTAATTTTCGACGTTACAACGAATTTTTATTTTTCTTTCCCTTATTGTACCGAACACTAAGGTTGAAAAAGGTCCTGCTAACTAAGGTTACAAAATTGCAAACAATAATATCTTAATTTGTTATACTCGACTCGAAAAACATATTTTAAAAATATTTTTTTATGAAGACCATGATTAGGAGAGCTTGCGGTAAAAGTTTTCTTCGGTTAAACAAAAATAAAGTAAAAATTTTACATGCTGTTCAAATTGAACTTTTTCATGTATGGCGTCTGACTGTAATATTTCAGTACGACAATTGATTGCTTCCGCTAAAATTCATAAATGATGCAGTCATTCATTACCGATGTTTTTGAAAACTTTGAAATTAGGGTTATTTACTTAATATATCACATTGTTATTAAATAATCGCATTCAGCTCTTTCTAATCGATCCGAATTATTTTAAATCCCAAAAGAATTTTTCATAAATAGAATTTACTATCGTAGATAAGCCTGAATCTTCCAGCAAATTCATCGGATTATATTTAAGTCTCTACTTAAGATTGCCCAAATTATTGATAAATAATAATATCTAACAATAATAAACCTCCTTGACCGCATCGATCAAGTTACCCTTTGACATTCTCGCAAAGTTAACAAAGTTCATAAAAACATATAACCTACAGGAACACATGATATCGTGGGACGTGAATAAGTATAATAATTATTTATATGACATTTAACACAGTGTGATCGACAAATAAATTACACTAATCCTTGTTTTTGAACACCATCGTCCGAGAAATTTATGTATGTTTAAGAATTTAAATTTTTTGAGTGACTCATTATGAGAAGTAAAATGTTTGAAATAAAATTTTCATCTTATTACATTTCTTACATTCATTCTTATTACATCATTTCATTTTAATTCATTATATTATATTCATTAAATTGCGACAGCTTGAGTAGAATTTTACTCATTGGAGCAGAATTAGTAAAACTCGAAGAAAATAGGTATTTTATTCATTTATTCTGATTAACTGTTGTTATATTACCTGTCCCTGTGAAATTCTGTGAAAAATAGAAAAAAATATAAATGAAGTTATAAGATATTTAATTAAGTGAAATTGGCGTGAACGGATTTCAGTTTCAGATAAGGTCACAGAACCGTGTGGTCTTATAATCTCTGCCTAATTTCACGATAAAGTCTTCCATATAACCTATAGACTCCTTGCGATAGCTGTCATTTTTGTTCACTGATGAATCCAGAATACCTTCCCATTATTAATAATATCTGAGAATCAAGTCATGCAACTCCAAGCTTCTTGATGGCCTGAATAGTTTAATCAGGCTTAAGAATTTTGACGATCATGGGCAGTTAACTCGTTCAACGGAAGTGAAAATTTCAAAGTTTCGAGTATGTTTAAGTACCGCTGCTTGTAAAGCCAACGCATTATTTTAATAGAATTTTAGTTGAAACATGCATTTGTGCAAATTTCAGTGCAGGCTAACATGAAAATTATCTCAATAACATTCGATGCGAAAATTGGATTGGGAAACATGCTAAAAAATTACATTAAAAATTTACCGACAACCCCTCACACGATAACAAACATTTTGATGAAAACTTTCACACATGCTTTCAAAACTCGCTAAGTGAACGCAAGTACTTACGCTCTATTTTCTTGTCTATGATTGGTGGATTTTGCTTGAAAGGCCGTCAATGATTGGCTCATGAACTTACGATCTCTTAACTTTTTTTGAAAGTATAGGCGAGCGTCTCGTTACATTGTTAATGTCATTGACGGAAAGTACTTGTGTCGCCTGTCAGTCTTAGAGAAGGTAGAATCACTTGGGCGCAATATCAGATAATGAAATCCGCAGGTCTTAATGACTTTCAACTTGTATTTGTAATTAAAGCAATTGTAGTACCTACCAAGGCAACCACTATGTGTAATATATAATGTTAGAATTAAGCTGAGTCATGGAGTTTAAGCATTCGAAATTATTCGAGGCGTTTACAACGGAACTATTTGAGGTACACAGTATCAAAAAATGAGTACACATAATATGCGTGAACTTCGTTGACCGTTTCATCCCAATAACCATAGTCCATTTCTGGCACAGGACTCCGTCTAGACACTTTTTCAGATCGTTTTCTACAAGAAGGAGACGCAAAAATCGTTTACTATGGGACACTACATTATTTTCCTACCTCATTGAGTGAAAAGTTTCTTCTCCGCGCAGACGGCGGTGGGGCAGCTCAGTCCTCGCTCTCATTTCAGATCACGTTCTGGGTAACCAGGCAGTAAAGTATGGCCTTTTAACTTGAAATTTTGGCGTTTTTTTTCAACCATCAAGTCATTTTGCCTTAGATTAGTGTCGATCTTACATCACAACTATTGATCGACTGATCAACACAGCTTGAATCGAGATTTACCGACCGTTTCCATCGATATCCATCATATTATATGGTTTTGAAGCAGAACTAATCTTTAAATTTCAAACTAAAATGTCAGAGATAAATATAATAAACATATAAATATCCAACGAAAAAATGTATGTTTCCAACCTCTTTTGCTCTTGCATCTTAATAATCTAACTTATCTTAGCATAAACTATCTTAACCTAATTTTTCTAAAATTTTGTTCTGATAAAAACAAAGAATTTTAATAGCTCTTAATAGGTGTAGAGTTTCGAAGAGTTTTGACTGGAGTTCATGTTAGATCATCAATTTAATCATGAGGAGTCGTCAAATAAATCTAAACCTGCAGCAAAAATCAAACCTATAGATCGCCATCGTTTATTAATCACTAGAACTCACATGAATCACAAGATTTTGAATAATTTCTATTATATGAAATAACCAACACCAGGGGCTATTGTTATAAGCTGAAAAAATGTAACTCAGTACTCACTGCAGTGAGTGACAGAGAGCGCATTTTCTCGTCGACGGAAACTTGAGGTCACGGACAGACGGACAGACGGACAGACAGACGGACGGACGGACTTGGCGAGCACAATAGTGCATTTTTTCCATAAATGAGAAAATGCGCTAAAAATATGGTTCAACCCGGCCATCCAACAACACTTCTCCTCGCTTCAAACTTCGAGTCATCGACATGTGGAAGTCATCCGCTAGCATCGTTGACGCTCCGAGTTCGAACCGACTATAGACTATGCAGAAGTTTATGTTAAGACTTGAAGTGCCTACAACCCCGCGGACCTGGTAAAAGTCAAGTAGCTATTAAATTTAACGTCCCCTTAGATAAGTTCTGCTCAAAATTCTAGGTTTTAGATCTTCTGTGAACAAGTCACGAGTCCTTCAGCGCCGTCAACACTAAACTAACTCATCCGACACTACACAAGAACCTAGTTCCAGTGTAGTTAACTTCTATATAGTTTATTGGTAGCTTTCTTCGACGTTTCGACGCGATAATCATTTATCAGTTTATCTACAACCCGGCCAAAACAAGTTTTTTTTTCTTGTTTCGCCAGCTCATGGTCTCGACGGTCCTAGAGGTGTTCGACGAAGGCGGCCAACTTTGAGTCGACAGCTGAATCAGCTTTCACCCAGTGTCCTAATGAAACGTATATGCGAATATATTTTTTTAATTTGAAGTAGTTATTATAGTTTTTTAGTTGTTTAATTTCGCAATTAGTTATTTTTTGTTATTAGTAATTTAGTTGTTTAATTTCGCCATTTTTGTTTTAAACTAGTCATTGATGCGACATCGACTAGTCGAGAACTTCATTCACTATTATGTAGGGGGATTTTGCTATGGTGATTCATTTTTAGAGAGCTATGTAATGCCTGTGCATTTTATTGTTGATGTTTTGGGTTGTGGAATAATGATTATTTCTGTGCATCAATTCCCTAGCAATATTGGTATGTGATTCCTTATATTATCTATTTATAGACGTTACTTCGTTCATTTAAAAATCGGGTTTAATCCCGATTCTGAAACTTGATTCACGATGAAACCTTGAAGAGCCTAAGAAGTTTAATGTACGATTTTCATTGTAACTTTGAAAGAAAAACAGAATGAAAAAAATGTTTAGGTAAATTGCGTACGTTGGTCTTGTGTAGCATGTATATTAATTATTGAAATCGATTTAGTTAATTATACTTTTAAATTACATATCATTGATATCCTTGGTTATGGTT